CCCCGCCCCCCGGTCCCCGCCCCTGCCCCAGCCACGGTCGTGGCCCCGCTTTCCCCAAACGAGAGAAGTTCAACACAGGCGGGATAACATTTCTGAGCTATTCCAGGCCCTGTTTTCAGAGCCGCTGAGCAGCAGCAGCCCCAGTGAAATTAAGAGTTGGGAATGTTTAGGATGGTGGAAAAATCAGGCTGCACATTCAGAGGTATGCAGTCGTTCCAGCTGCATCCCAACGGAGAACTGGGACACGAGACATAAACCTCGTGGTGACCACTGAGAACAGGCTTGACCCAGCAGCACCAGCACTAGCTTTACTCAATAGACTTTAATCCGAATTTCTTTCCCAGGTCATTCCTCTTCTTCCCTGTTCCCCAAGCACTTTCAGCAGGTCCCCACCGTCACAGCCGCCCGAGCAGCGCAGTCCCCCTTGCCGGGCCCTGCTGCCCTCCCGTCTGCAAAGCCGAAGCCAAAACTCACCCAGCAAACACTGCAGAAAGTCGACGAGAGAACACTTCAGAAAGCAGATTATATTGCCGTGCTCTGCAAGGAACTTTCAAAAAAGCTGTGGGCTCCCTCCGCTACTGAGTGGAAGATACATATTACAGTAAAAAGCATTACAGTTTATTTTTTTTCCTGATTTCTTCCCCCCTCTTAACTCCCCCTTTTTGGCAACAACTTTTTGCAAAAGATACTTTTTTCTAGGTTGGAAAATTTCGAATTTTATTTCTACTCAACCTTGAATGGTCTCTGAGTTCATTTCTTCATTTGCAGACTTCTCCTTCATTTTTTCCCCCTTTTCCTTTTTTGCTTTCAATGTTTTCTACTGTACTTCTTCCACTTTGGAATCATTTGAGGGTGACAAAGAAAATCAAACAAACTGGGAATTTTCCTGTTTTGGAGAAATTTTGAAAAGTTACAGAACAGGGGAGACAATTGAAAAAAGAAAGGAAAATGAATTTAAAAAAAAATACATTCACTTACGAATGGGAGAAAAAGCAGGAAAAAGAGGGAAAATCGAAACAGTTAAATATTTAAAATTATTTTTCAGCAGTATTAAATCTTTAAAACTGCTCAATTTCAAACCTGAAAGAAGCCACAAATTTGATCTTTTCCACAGACACATATAAATAGTAAAAGGATAAAGTACACTGAGATTAAATAAGAAGGAAAATTATCTTCTTACAGAGAGAAAGTGACTGAGGAAAGCGGAAAGTCCTGATGCTTGAATGCTCTCGGCAGCATCTACAGCCCCTGAGACCTTGGCTCTGGGCAGCATCTCCAGCCCCTGAGACCTTGTGCATCTCAGAAGCCAAGGCTGAGGGGCTGGGGTCCAGGTTCGTTTCTAACAGCCTCTCCTGGCTTGCAGGCCATTAGGCTGAAGAAAAAAACCTGCATTTCACACGTGGACGTGGAAGCTGCTTCTACACCAGCAAATGTCCCAGTGCCAGGGAGCGCTCGGGCATGGTGGCAGTCCCTCACCTGGCAGTGTCATTGATGCCTTGGCCCTCTCGCCCTGCACAAAGCTCTCCCTGGCCCATGCTAACTCATGGTCTTCCCCACAGTTTCCCATGGTCCAGGAGCTGGCGGGGCTTTTGGAGGTAAAAGATGTCTCCGGTACAGCAGTGGGATGCTCTGTGCTGGAGTGGTCCCAGACACGTTTGGTTTGCTGGCACCGCCACGGAGGTGCTAGCAGCTCTACAGGTAGGTGGTGGCCTCTCGGCTCTCCCGCTCTCTAGCCTGCGCGACGGCAACGTTGATGCACTGAAGCCACTCCTCGGCGTTCTTCTCGTCTTTGGCCTTGAAAACATAGGTCTTGCTGTCAGTGAAGATCTCAAAGGCCCGGGGCAGGCTGCGGTCCCTGCGCTTCTTTGCCACCACTTTAACGCTCTGCACCTTGCTGAGCTCAATGGGGCAGTCATCGGGGTCATCTTTCTGAAACACAGGGAAGACAGACAGAACCAAGTTCATCTGGTAGACCTTCCACCATCTTAGTAACAGTTGATGTCTCTAGAACTGGGCTTGTAAACATTGCTCGTGCGGGCAAACGCACCAATGGGGACTTCCCAAAAGAAGGAACTCCCTTAGGGGAGTTAGAAACGCCCCTCCCACGCAGTGCCACACTCCCCGACTGAACACCGTTGGGTTTCATGGGATGTCAGGGTCTACTGCACTCAACGGCCAAGGGTCCACACTGACGCCCATGAGCTCTTCCCCCTCAGCATCAGCACTTTCTAGTTCCAACTTCAGCTATTAACATGGGCTTGGATTTTCCTTTCTCTGGCTTTTAATAACGGTGACCTCTGTTAATGGTGCCAGGCACAACCAGTGTCAATGGGAAATGCTTCCTAGGTACAAAAATCAGCCAGTCCTCCGGGACTGAAGAAAGCTCTCTTCTCTTAAGCAGTGCTAAGTTGTTCCCCTTCTCAGAGTCCCCACCTGAAGATGGAAGCAGCAACTCCTTTTGTTGGTTTTGAAAACAGAACAGATATCTCACCCGGGAATGTGAGGGAAATCATGGCATTTCTTAGTTGGGAATGGCGAATACGGGACAGCTCAGTTGCAATTTTGTTTGAAAACGCATAAAGTAAGTACGTCTAGGAAATCTTAGTGTCATTGTACGAAATACGATGCAGGGAGTGTAAAAGAGAGTTGTACAAAATCATGAAAGTTTCCTATGGGAGAGGAGATTCGTGAGCTCATAAAAAATGTACGAATTGAGTCTCCAGGTGAGAATTTTAAGCCCAGGGCCCTGATTCCTCCAGAATATTTATGTTTCTCCTATTGAGCTTCTTACATATCCTACCAAGAGGAGTAAAGCAGATTTTCCAAAAGCTTTCTGCTCCTATCGTACAGGAAAGGTCTGGACTGATCTGAGGGAGAATTAGGGGTTAATTGTCTTGCGGGAGCTGAGCAGGGCTCGGCAGAGGCTGCGGCGTGGGCACTGCTGGCTGCAGAGCTGCTCTGCCTGCCCCAGCTTCGTCTGCTCTCCCAGCAGGCCAGGTCTGAAACACAGGACCAGAACTGGGCAGGGAGACTTCTCCTGCAATAATGTCTCAGTCCTTCTGGGAAAGAACCAGGAACATTTTACTGTTCTAAGGAAAAGCTTACCTGAAGAGACCACCCAAAAGAAGTCTCAAGCTCAACGGCTGTGATTGCTCTCTGAGATTTGGTAGTCCCCTACCATTACCACTGATCTGCCATTTTTCCACATCCATAATGAATACCCAGGATGAGTTTTGGAGCTCTTCTGTGTTGCATACATACGTATTATTTGCAGTCAAGGTCTCCTACTTTCCTGAACTGCCACAATCCCTGGGCAATCCCCTCCTTTCGGACTCAGAACAGTACTGAAGTCCATGCCTTGACCAGAGCAGCTCTCCAGCAAGAGAGGCTGGCACGAAGCCCTCGGCAGGGCCAGTGGCTGGGGGAGCAGATGGACTCCTCTGGGACATGGGAGGTCCCTCGGCTGCCAACGGCAGTGACTGCATACAGCCATCATCTTCCCCACACAGTTCTATCCCCCCGTGTTGCTGTTGCTCGTTCTGGGATGGAACGAGACCGAATTTGTCTGTCTCGTTCATTTTTTTATCAGGGACTCTATTCCAGGCCTGAGAATTTTTCTTTAAATGGATAATTTCCTACTAAAATGTTTGGTTCTGACCAAATGACTTTCCATGAACAATGAAGTTCATCTCCAACTTCACATGGGAACAAATGCTTCCAGAGCCATCACCGATTCCCCATGCACGACCACGGGACCGCAGCAGTGGCCCACCCTCCCCTGCTTCCACAAACAGCAATTAAGGCTTTATCGACAGTGTTAAGCTGGCTCTGTACTGAAATCTGACCTGGGATAAACATTATGAAAATTTTATCACAGAAAATGCAAAGCAACGATAGACTCCAGAACCAAAACTTTGCACCCCATGAGCCAGACTCACACACTTAGAAGCCTATCTAGCAAAAACTATATACTCCCTTCGTTACCACACAGCGTTTGACCTCAAGTTGCTAAAGAAAGTTGATTGTACCCTAGGCACATTTCTGTGGAAGGAGTTTACCACAATTTTCCAGGAGTTTAGGATGTGGCTCTTTTTCAGACCTCTTATATTTCGTTTTTCTCCTGCCTCCCCTTTACCCACTGCCCATACAGTTGCTTACACAAAGCGAATATTGTCCACATGGTTACTCTGACGAAGGGAAGGTTCATGGTGGGGCTCCAGGAATAAGCAGGCACAGCCAGCTGGCCATCTCACAATACCTCCTCTGTGTTAGGTTTGTATTTTTAAGTGAGCAGCATGTAAAGTCCAAACACCCACGCAGCACCCAGCCCTGCTCTGCAACACCAGAGATGATGGGGCAGAGCTGTCACGCTCAGCCAGGCAAGCACCATCCGGCTTCGAAGACTGAAATGAGCCCAGATGGAGCTGGGCAGGAGTCTCTACTACCGCTTTCGCCGGCTGCAGCCTGTAGCCCTGCATCGTGCGATGCTTTTGGCACCCACACCAGGCCACGACGCGCGAGGCTGGTCCTCCTGCCGGGTGCCAGAGGTATGCAGGAGCGGACCTTCTGTGGGATCTGAAAATCAGACTTTTATTGTCCGAACCACTTCAGTGAGGCTTCAGACCTCCAGCCCTGCTTAAAGGGCTTAATGTTTTGTGTTTGGTGTCTGCAATAGTCAGCCCCGGGCACGTGCGCAACCTAAACCGGTGGGCTCAGGGTTGCTCCAGGCTGCAACCCAAGCAATGGTTAACGGCAGGACTCGATTCTCGAATTTAGGCCAAAAATGTAGAAGTAACAGGATATAATGCACCAGTCTGAAAGACTGATTACCCAGGCACAATAACCCCGCTGCTGTCCCCGGGGGGCTGGATGCCAGCCTGCTACACCGACGAACCAGTCCAGCTATTTGTGTTCAACTTTAAAAAAAGCAAAGAAGCCTTGAGTTTGCCAGTTAAAAAGGGCCAATTAAGCTATATGAATTACGCTGTTGAGCAAAATCTGCTGTTCAACAATCTAATCTGCCAGCTTCACCCACCTGCGATTTCCTCAGATGAACAAGGGGAGCACTGAGAATGCAAATCTAAGGAGGCAATCACATCCTAGGAGTAACCAAGGTATTCTGATGTGCCTTATGCCTGGTTTGTTTGGAGAGCTAATTAAAGCCATTCAATCAAATACATGTCTTCGACATGCTAAAAAATGACAATTATTCTGACAATCTTTCAAAAGTGAGCATCAGTCAGTACTGAGCTGTAGCTGTGGTACGTGTATGGATTAAACTGCCTTCAGCATCTCAACCAAAACATCAGAAAAAGTCACTAGAAAGTAAGGAAAAGGCTGTTTCCTGAACTACTTGCTTTCAGAAGAACTGTATTGTCCGACGAAAGGCACATGTTCCTCCTAGGCAGGACACTCTGTTGTACTTCTTATAGGAAGGGGCTCCGGAAGCCATTTAAGAAGCTTAAAGAGCTTTACTATGTTTCCATAAAAACAAAGATTATTTAGCAGAAATATTAAGGTTTAGCTATAGTTGGAAGATGCTGCCATTTTTGGATTATCTGAGAGACCTCTTGTAACAAAAATAAATAGACTATTTTGCACCATGTTTGGTAATTCTCATTGCAAAAAGCTGAAGGAAGTAAGTTTCTAGTAACTGAGAAGTAATAACTAATGAGGACTGGATTCAATTACCTGCTTTTCCATGCTCTGGGACACACTTGTCTCTCAGTCCTATCGGTATAAATTTCAAACAATTTCTCAGAAATTTCAGCAGAATTTCTCTGAATTTAGATGAGGATAGAAGTGAAAGCAAAAAACCCCTCCATTCCTTTGGGGAAAAGCATTTTAGCATCACCTTGCTTTAAACATACCGGTATTTCCTGCACAAATAACACCAACTATAATGCCGTCATCTCAAGAACAGTTACTAATGTACAAAAGCAGGCGAAACTTTCAAAAAAGGTGAACAGCTGCTTGATTTGGGAGACTGCCCTGAGGTGTTCAGAAGGGCCTGACTTCCCAGATGTGCTGAACATAACCATCTCCCCCCGGAACACTGCTGGTCCCAGAAATGAGAGCTCACTTGCAGCACGTTCGCTGTGGCTGCTACATACCTTGCTGTCCCACGCCATGCACTTTGCAAGCAGGAAAAAGATATTTACCTGAGCAGAATTTATTGAATTTTTGTTTATTCAAGGAAATAAAGAATCACTGGTCAAGACTGGAAATTATTTTTTAACCCACTGTAATTCCATCAGGAACAGAAGCTCTTGCAATATCCGAGTGGTGACCCTGGGATGCCTCGAGGCAGAGGGGCTGATGCTCAGGCACGGGGTACCAGCTAGTAGGGTATAAATTACTGAGTCGCAGTGCTGAGCCCTGGCATTTGTTGGCTGAACACAAGCAACGCCAGTCTGACACTGAGCACTCTCGAAAATCTCATGCTCTTGATCCAGAGATAAAAATATAACTAAAGCTGGTGAGCAGCCCCTTGGCTGAAGTTAGCCATGCGGCGTACAGAGACCACAGGCAAAGCTGAGCAGTAAAAAACTGTGGGAAATGGTGTTGGGAAGAGGGGAAAGAGAGAAATCAAATTGATGCTCTTCTGACTTACAGATTTTCCTTTCCGAAAAAGCAGCTGGTTGCCAGCCAGAGTGAAGTAGCGAGTTTTCCACCTTTTGATAAACTTCCACCGGACTTGCTTCTCTTTAAGCTTGCCTTCAATCAGAGGTTGGCCATCCTGATTTACCACTGGGGAGGTGAACACACAACGCGGGGGTTATTTCTGTCCTCCCTTTGCCCCAGCCAAAAGCCAGGCTTTTGCTGCGATGCAGAAAATTTTGTTTGCAGTTTAGCTGTGTCAGCTCTAAGACCACATTCCTCCCGACCTCAAGCATTCAGCTGTCACTTTGGAAAGACATTTCAGCCCTTAGTCATGTTTTGCTTAGGAGGCCTAGCAGAGGGAGCTGACAGCTCAGATTCCTGTCCATCATGTTTTCTATTCTCTTAGCCATCACGTACTTCTCCCCACCATTATGCCTCCCAATTGTTCCTCAGCCCTGCAATAATAATTTATAATTTCATGGAATTGAAAGTAGGCATTTATGTTGTCTCTGAGACTTTAATCCATGCTACAGAGCTCAGTACAGTTATATTCCTGCT